AGTCCTAACAGTCTACCTACTATTCCACCTAGCTATATTATATAAAGACATATAAACAGATTTTTTAAATATTAAGAACTGACCAGAGTGGAGTTTTGCCCAAGGGAGAGATGCACCAGTGGCTTCCACCACCTCTTGTATTCCTCTACGGTAGAAGGCAGAGAAAGATTCTACTGACCTAAGAGAGAAGTGAACACTGTCAATGGGTGAACTCTAAGCAGGCTGAACTCCACCTGAGTTTGAGGTAGAGACAGAAATAAGCCAATCTTTGGCCCAGGCAGAGCACCTAGGCTTCTTGGTGGATTCCTGTTTTACCCTGGTACCCTTGGTATTAGACCTTCACATTCTAGCCCAATCAGAGATAACATATTAAATCCCAGATACCTCCAATAAAAATAGGAGGCATATTAGGTAGGGTAAGGCTAGGAAAAAGATACAACCCCTGAGTCCATCTTAAAGGATAACATCTTTCTGGGGTTGTCTCTGTTTCCTCCATTCCCAGGACCTTTTATTCAGAGTTTTGCTCTTTCCCTCAAACTTTCTTTAGGTATATCTTGAGATGATATGCCTGGAAAGACAGAGAATGCCTGTCTCCTTCTTCCTGCACAATTATTGGCCCTGAGTCACAAAATCAGAGTCCAGTGTTCTGGGAAGAGGAATGTCCCTGAGAAAGATCAAATTTCAACATCCTGACTGAAAAAGCCCAAAATTTGGAAGTTAAGGGACCTAGATGCAAGTGCCTGCCCTGACACTAACTCTGAAACTCATCTTCTTCAAAAAAGATTGAGCAAAGTGGTTTCTAAGGTCCTCCCAGTTACAACATTCTCTAAGTCTGTAAGATATGTGCTACATCAGTGTTGAATAAGTATTCCTCTGTGACTTTGGTCAAGTTACTTTCCCCTTTATGGGATTTTAGTTTCCTCCTCCGTAAAATAAAAGTTGGACTAGATGATTCCTAAAGGTACTTTCCACTTCAACATGCTATTTTTAAAGTGAAGTGGTGAATGGGAGGTGGTTTCAAGGCTCTTTCAACCATCCCCCAAGCCCCTCATATACACAAGTACAGGGATAGGTCCACCCTCCCTCTCCTCTTGTTCCACCTGCAAATGAGTGTGACTTCCAGGCTGAACAACAACAATAACCCAATAACTGAGTTATGGTTCTTGCCTACTTCTGACTGGAAAAGACCTGAAAAAAAAATCTCATGTAGTACAACTCTCTTCATATTACAAGTGAGGAAGCTAAAATCTAAAAAGGTAGACTGACTTGTCCAAGGTCATACATCTAGCAGGTAGCTTTCAAGTCCAGTATTCTTTCCATTATGCCATTTACAAGATAACACATTCCTGTCATCAGACCACTTATACTCTAGCCATTCTATGAAAGGTGTTAAATCTATCTGCTATCTAAATGCTTACCAATGTCTTGTACACAGAAGCTCAAAATATATTCATTGACTGAAATTCTAAAAGTAGTCAATCTTGTAAAAATGTAGTTTTAGAAATCAATTTAACTAGTTTCCTGTTTAAATGTTTCCATAGTACTCTTTATTTGTATTTTGTATGGGTTATTTTTTCATTACATGCCTTAAATTTGTGTGGTTTTGTTGTGGTGTTTGCCTTTCTAATACGTTATTCCTCTAGTATTCAAGTTGCTAGGCAAATAAAGTTTCCAAGAGTATATTTAAATAATTGTGTTTTGTAGGACAGTTATTTCATTTATACTTTGTTTTACTTAATATTTAATAAAGATATTTTAACCAGCAATGTAATAGTTTATTTCCTCTTCCCTCTTCATAAGATAGGATTTCTTTTCTTCTAAAGAGATGCATTTACATCACAATAAGCATTATTATTAGTGCAAATTTTACATAAATGCAAATAATAAGGTAACATTTAAAATGTCTATTTTGTGGTCTTCCTTTTCTCTTCTTTTACATTAGCATTTTCTGTTAAAGAAAAGTGAAAACAAAGCAATGTAGACTTGGCTTAGAAATGGTCTGATAACAGTGCATTGTCTGAAAATCATTGTGTTCCTGTTGGCTCTATCTCTGAGAAATGAAAAGGACCTGAGAAATGAGGAAACTGGAGTTAAGCAACTTACTCAAAGTCACAAAGGCAGTAAATAACAAAGCCAAGATTTGAACTCAGGTTCTATGAGTCAAATCCAGTGCTTTGTCTACATGTTTCTTCCAAGATGATAAATGGACGCATGCATGTGAATGTAGAAATACCAAACACATATATTCAGAAATATCTGCATGTTTTTCACATTTGCAAATATATTGCTTCCCCAGAAATGATATCAACTCTTAAGTATTTGATTATTTTATTGGGAGGAATGCCATTTAGCTTTCTTTTCACATCAGTCCCATATATACTAGCTAAATATTAGTGTTGTACTTAACAAAGCCTAGTGAATGGTTCCCTCAAATCTCCTGGCCCACCCCATTTTCACCAGCCTTACCTCTAATAGAAACAGTCTTGTACTTCAACCATGGTGTAGCACCTATTGTTTCAATGTAAACTGTAAAAGGAGGGGTATGATGATATATTTATGATGCTTTTGTATAAATCAGTTGATAACATGGAACACAGAGATCCCCCATAATATCTTCCAAAGGTAAGCAAAAATTAATGTAAATATATCAGCATCTACACAGTAACTAAAATATTTATTAACACATATTTAGGGACAGCTGTGAGTGGTGTCAGATTATTCATGAAGTTTTAAATCATGCCATAATTATTTTATCTTCTCTATTTTGTTGAGCAAACTTTTAAAAAGTTCTCAAGAGGTCTGATAAATTAAGCCAGTGAAATAATTCAGATGCTCATTTGATGAATTTTGCTTCATGACAACAAAGGCTTTGAGCTAAACCTTTTCCTCCTCTTTATGAGTTCTTAATTTGTTTTCCTTGATTTAAAAAGCTGTGGCTATTAAGAATCTAAGAAATAAGTTATTTGTTTGGCTTTTAGGAAAGTCGCAACAGCAATTGCCATAGAGTCTAGCTGAAAGTGAAATCCATATGTAATGCTTCTGTCAGCAAAGATTTACTGGGGGAGAGTTTATAATAAATATTCACATCTGCTGCTTTGGACACCCTAATCCATCCTATGAATCTTTGCTGTGTCAGGCTTTGTTCTAGACGAAGAAGCCCAGTACATATAAAGGTTTGCAAATAGGTCATATTTATCATGGTTAACTGTACTTCCACAGTGGTCCCTCCTTTACAGATATCCATGACCACTTGAGACATAACCTGTGATTAAATGTTTTAGTGTTTTTAAAATGATTTTGCGTAATTATTTTTTACAAGAAGAACAACTTGCATTTATTTTCCCCATTATATCACCTGAAGCCATTTTCTGTTCAAATGTTGACAAGAAGACATTATTGGAATCTATCAGGGTGATGTGATAGCAATGATTCCCAAGTGAACATCAGACTGTCAAGTAGAAAACCTCCTATCTTTCATACTCTTCCAAAATCTGAGGTTAAGTAAGAATGTTCCATTGTTTCTAATCTCAAAATCCATGGTTTAAATGCTTCATTGACTTCTTGGCGACCACACTAATTTAGGTTTCACTGGTGATTTGAGTCACTTGCAGGAAAATATTCACATTTGAGAAAAGATACTGTAACAGGTTTAAGAATATCTTATCCCGTATGTGTATCTGTCTTACTTAACTAGGGTCATGAGTTGTAAGCTTAGTTGAGAGGACTAAACAATTTTGTAAAAAGTTATTGAGTTTTCTTATGAAACTGAAGCTCATGAATATCACCATTATTTTTAATCATAAAATTACTTATAGTTTTTAAAATGAATATTCAGGTGCAATGTTTACAAGCAACCAAAATTAAAGTGGAATGACAATTTTTTTAAAATATGAAGTACACATAAACAGTAATATCTTGTCCTTTGGCTAAACTTGTAATCCTCAACTCTCTAAAACTTCTCCTTACATGCAATATATATTGTGAATTTTGAGTTATATCCTTTGATAAATTGTTCTGCTCTGTGTTGTTCAAAAAGTCTATCTTAATAAAATGGTTGTATAAATCTGTTGAGAATTAAAGTTCCAGAAATCCCCTGCTGTGGGTAGTAAGTAAAAATCCTTAGGTTCATTTTAATCACTCAAATCTAATAGTTTAATTATTGGTTTATATTACCCTAGACTCAAATTATTTCCTATAAAGCAGTTCTCATTTCACGTGTCATGGTAAACGCAACATAAAAGGAGAATTTGGTGCATCGCCCTGGAAACAGAACGGTAACGTTCCCTTACTTGCAAACTATATCCGTTCCAATGAAACTTTGCTTTCTGTTTCTCTATTTCAGGTCGAGTTTTAGCTCAGGCAAGCAGCAACGGGGTTATCCATTTGCTAGATCTCAAATCAGGTCAGATTCGCAAACTGATGGGCCATGAGAGTGAAGCGCACAGCGTAGTGTTCTCTCACGATGGAGAGAGCCTATTTTCTGGGGGATCTGACGGAACTGTTCGAACGTGGTCCTGAAAAATCAGCGTCTCACACTGCAGAGGGCATTCACTTTTATGCCGAGAATGTCTTTGAGACCTCCGAGCCAATAAACGACTAGTTAAATATGTTAGAAGGTAATATTTGTGGTTCGCCTAATAACATGCAACGGATGCACTCCGGTGTGTATATTGCCACCAATAAAAATTAAAACTTTCTGCTTATTTATTTGAGACTGGGTCATTTCCTCTCATCCCCGTCCCCCCACTCCCCACCTCCCACCCCCGTTTTAATAAGAATTTAAAGAAAACGCTGCCTTGCTTAGGGGTTGGGGAGAAATAGCTTTACAATGACGCCTAATGACAGACTAGATGAATTGCAAGAGATTGGTTTTTAATGTAACTGAACAAGCTCCACAAGAACTCTCCTACTTTTCACCAAATCCAGGCTGTGGAGGAAGATCAGAAGTTTAATCATGCAGCATTGGGAGTTTTTCTGCAGTCAGAGGTTCAAATACCAACAGTGAGGTTTCATTTTCAAAGATGCCTTGGCAGTGATCATGCCTCATCTCCTAATAATAATCAGGGACTGCAGATGGCTTAAATCTAGATACAAGGCACTTCCGGAACTTACCGAGTGGAACACATCTCTGCAGCCGGTCCAAGAATACATTATGCATAATGACATTGATTTGGGGGGATTTAGGGGCAGTTCGATGCAAATACGTAACATGCACATGTAGGAAACCCTTCCTCTTAATAGTGTGTCTGTGTCTGGTATAGGGAAAAGTGCGACTAGAAAGAGAGAAACTCTCTGTTCTGGTCCATTCTGGAGGCTGGCTAGAAAGAGCTGCTGGAAATTGGTACTGTGCGGCTCAGCGCGCTGAATCCAGCTGTTGGCGCTGTCCGTGGTACTGAAGAAATCCCGGCTGCCGGTAGATTGAGCTCCAAAGCGGCAATCTCTGCAAACTGCTTTCTTTGATGCAGAAATCAAGCTAAAGTTGTTCCTTTGCTTCACGTCCACTGTAAGCATTTTCTGTTGTTGTAAGAGGTGTTTGAAGCCGCATTTTGTGATGGTGCGGAGGGTATTTCAGGCGGAGCTGGCTTTAAGCTATAGCATGCTGTTGCTGTTTGTGGTGTTGAAAGCCTAACCAAACCACCTTTCTCTACTGCCGTTACAAACACTGTGCAAAGGATCTCGTGTTTGGAAGAAACGTAATCAATCGGGAAATTTCATAGAAGCAGCTGAGAAAATTCTAAAATTAAGTTCAACATGATTCTACTACGGGAGTCTGGATTTCGACGAGACAGCACTGCTTCTTGCTTTGAATTCTGAACACTGGTCCAAAGCTTAATTCTTATGTGTGTCTGCTGTGTTTCTCTCTGGAAGGGCGGGAGACTGCCTCTTTACTGTGTTTTGAAATGGGAGGAAGAGAAAAGGGATTGCCTATAACTCATCCCTGAAAAAAAAATGTATTCTTCGGGTAATTAAAGAGGAACTGCTTTACTAAAACCATCTAACCTTTTAGTTCTTATTGGCCTGTGACCCTACCATCACCATTAACCTCCATACTGATTAGGTAAGTATACATTATTAGCACAAGTTATATTTGTTTTCTCAAAGGACTAGATGCAGTCATTTGTTATCAGATGTGGTTTTTTTCAAAGTTCAGCTATGGCTGTGATCTCAGTGTACCAGTGTTTGCTTACTTATTAGAATCTTTACATAAACATTTTATTTGGATAAAGGTTTCTTTCATTTAAATAAATGGAGTCTTAAACTGTCATAGAGCACCCAAGCTATCAAGATGACTGCTATGTTTTTAAATTTTTTTTAATTAGGCAGCCTTAGAACTTTGTTATGCTTTGAATGCCTACATTGAGAAATAAGGGTTTACAAAATAGATTTCATGGATAGAAGCATATTTATGATTTTATTCTAAGTGTGAATTGTATCCCTCATTTCTGTTTAAGTTTGCATTGACAATAGTATGGTAAATTGCTGCCTACCTGTAGCTTGTAAATGAATAGACCAGATTTGTCTATGTCTTTTTATAGCAGAATTCTGTATGAATTTGACATGGCTTATCATGCATGTTGCTACAGATACTAGAGGAATGCTACAGCGAAGCACAATAGCCCCTTTTTTCTCAAAGTTACACTTTCTAAATATATGGGGGATCTGTCAATTCATCCTGCAGTTAGTAAAATAGGTTTATGTTTTTCAAAGGCTTGTATAATATTTGGCACCACTATTAATCATTTGGGGGGGGAAATGCTTTGTCAATAGGCTCTTAAAGCTTCTCCAGTAAGATTGTAGGTTTGCATCTTCTGTTCTGTCATGACTCATTATTTTTTACATATTTTAAAGGAGATTCACCTCCTTTATCATTATTCACAAAGAATCCTGATATTAGAGAACATTTCCCCTTCAGGAAGAGGGAGTAAATATATTACCTTCCATTTTTACTATTGCCAGAATCTGCATACCTCACTAAAAATGCATAACTTAATATAAGACCTATTCAAAAGTTTCATGAAAATACATTTTTATTTTTTAAGTATCCATTGCACATTTTAAGCTGGGTGAAAGTGGGTTATCATTTTTTTGGTTATGATTTGGAAAGTAAACTCAAACATGAATGACACAAAGGGACTAAAAATGTACTATTTATATTCTTCGTACCATCTGCACATACAATGAAACTGACAAATGCATTATATGACAAGTTTCTTCCTTGTCTATTACTTCCTTGATGGAGGGTAAGGTTTTCCCTATGTCCCTATGACTTTTTGTGATTTACTCAACATGAATATTAAAGTATGAGCTATTCTCAGGACTCCAGACATTAGTTAATATCAATATTATTTTGTGTCTGAAAGGTCAATATCACTAATTTGATAAGGTATTTTTATTATGATGAGAATTATTCCATTGCAGTTTTCAAAAACTTTAATAAAATAAATTTGTTTGCTCATTTGTATAAACAACCCAAACCCAAGATTTTTAAATATATTTGGGAAAAGTCATGTATTCAGAGATTAACTGGATCTATCCATTTGCACTTAGTTTTTAATAATAAACTTACTAAATGCAAATCATGTTCTAGATACTATGCATAATGTTCAGAGAGGTATCTCTCTTGCCCTCTAGAAGCTTAGCTTCTGAGGAAGATAAAGACATAGTCAGCAATATACATAATGCATTTTATTTGCCAAGTCTTTTTATGACATGTTTTCTTTGATTTCCCTTTTTCTTTCCCTTTCCTATGTGGAATAGAGGTGTGAGTTTCACTGCTGATTACTTTTTACAACCCAAACACATGTCTATTGCTATAAACCTGTTCTCAGAATACTGTAAAGCCTTGTTTGCAAGCATAAAGAAAGGATGCTCAGTGGTCTTTTCTACAACCTTTAACACAATTAAAACTTATACTCAACTATTAGTTTTACTCCATTACTGTCTGATATAGGTTTCTCACACCAATATCTCAATTGTAGTACATTGAGTTATTTAATATCTGAATTCCATCAGTGGAAACAGCCAAGGTTTAAGGATAATAGAGACTGTGCATTAAAATTCTTTTGAACTACTTGTAACTAATCAGAGGCAAATCATTTCATCTCTTCATGGCTTAGGAAACAAATCTCTCTATCTTAGTCAAAGTAATATATGAAAGCCAGGTGCTAAACCTGAACTGAAATTTCCTAGGTAAAATAATTCCTAAAGGGATCAATTTTAGTTAATATGTTGCCAAAGATTTACTCTCTATACCTCAAACTGAAGAGTAGGTACTTGCTTGAACTCCTTTTATTTGGGAACTATTATATCAATCCCAATAAACAGGTTGAGGACATGGCCTTAATTGACTATATTATCTTTTAATATGTCAAATTATTCTCTTTAAATATTTGTTTTCAGCCTACCCCTCCGGTATTCCCATGGAAGCAGCTGGGTATATTTAATATTAGGACCATATGCAGAAGTCTTTGAGGAGGGGGATGGCTCTTCCTATTCATGAAGCCTGCATACTTCTGTTGGTAATCTCTGGTTTGGTCACCCCAGCTGCCATCAATCATGAAGACTACCCTGCTGATGAAGGTGACCAGGCCTCAAGTAATGACAATCTGATCTTTGATGACTATCGAGGGAAAGGGTGTGTGGATGACAGCGGCTTTGTATACAAATTGGGAGAACGTTTTTTCCCAGGGCATTCCAACTGTCCATGTGTCTGTGCTCTGGATGGACCTGTTTGTGACCAACCAGAATGCCCTAAAATTCACCCAAAATGTACTAAAGTGGAACACAATGGATGCTGTCCTGAGTGCAAAGAAGTGAAAAACTTTTGTGAATATCATGGGAAAAGTTACAAAATCTTGGAGGAATTTAAGGTATGAGCTACCCTCCATATTTATTCAATACTAACATGCCACTCCAGTTATTTTCAATATTGGTACATGAAAGTTATTGTTATGCCAAAATATTCTCCATTAGATCAAGAAATATGATTCCATTTAGCATGCAGCTATTCATGATCCAAATGACAGTGAACTCATCTGTTGATCTGTAAAGGTTTCAGATAGGCTTATTTAATAGCTGGAATGTGGTAACAGCCAAATTATTTCTACAAAGGGTTTAAAAATGTATTAAAGCATTTTTACATAAAGGTTTGGTGAAGAATGAAGGAACCTTGTTTATATACTACATTTTTATTAGATTAGCATAAAAATATTATGTGCGTACCTTTAAAAAAAGCTTTGTGCGACTCAACCAATATATGAAGTACGTTCTACTTAGTCTCCACAGTTGGTGTGTAAAGGTAAGTTCTACAAACAGATGGGCAGTCCTGAGTCCATAAAACAGAAGTATTATTTATTTTGAAACAGAAGTATTAGTCCTTATAGCAAGTATACCACATTTTCTCATGCATTGGCCCACTACAGGATGTCTTAAGTATAAGATGATCTTTTTCAGGCATTAAAAAAAAAACACCTAAAATCCAGACTGTAATTTTTTTCTTGACCAATGCCATTAACCCATTGTTTTCTGACTCCTAATCCCTACTGTCAAGAATTACAAAGAACATTGTCATTCCTTGCACTGAATTGTCTTTTCTCCCATAGCTATTTGTGATTAGGACATCCTATAAGTCAGGTCTGAGACTTAAATATTTTACTGAGAGCATCAAAAAGATGTCCTTCATGAATGTAATGGTAGTGTGTGGCCAAGAGTGTCTGAGATTTTGATGGTTTGCTACCAAAGGGCCAGCTTTCATTCAACATACAAATTCTCGTACAAGATTCTCAGAAGCTTGCCAGTAGCTAGAAGAGAACTAGCTTGCTTGCTATTGCAGGACTTTTCTTTCAATACTGGAGGGAAGAACGTTCTATGCTAAAGAATGTTCTATGCTAAAGAAAAAGATCTTAAGTGTCAAATGATGCTTGAAGCCATCACCCAGATAATAAAATTACCTTTCCCATAGTCAAGGGGGAAGGGGACATGCTGCTGCTGCAGCATTGGCCATGCGATCGTTTTACTCAGTTCCTTGCAGTGCATAAATACTGTTTTCCACAAGCCACAGTATGAGTTCAGATTGATGATCTAGTCACTTGTGTAGTGCTTTATGACTATCCCATTCTCTTGGTTGAATAAAATATGTAAACTATCATTCCAAAAACATGAAAAGATATGATAATATGATGATTTTTAATAGAAGTAAGATTTCACCGAACATTGGTCTGTCCTCCATTAGAATATAATTTCAGTGGGAGTAATTCTAATACAAACATATCTGTTGCTACTAAACTCTAGTTAACTATATCTTTCTCCTTATCAACCACCTAAGTACTAAGATGTTTACAAGCTATAAGCACATGTTGCCATCAAATACTTATTTTTTAAGTTTGTGGGTATGAAGTACAAGTACTAAAAACATAATATGATTCTGGGCATAATTTTAAAATTACATCATCCTTTGCAGGCCATCTCAGGGTAGCTATTTTCACAGCAACGTTACATAGCATTAGAGAGACCACCTCTACCTCATCTTATTTCTGCCCAAAACACACAATCAATATTTCTGAGATATTTAATTCATAGTACAATATATTTAGATCATAATATGACATATCAAGATTATTTGGGCCTTAGAAGCTTTTGAGTCCAACCCTCTCATTTTATATGTAATGCACCAGAGTCACAGAGAGATTAAGTGCCCATAGTCACAATATTTAAGGCAGAATTTGAATCCAAGTCTTCCTAACTCCAAGCCCCAATGGTTTGTCATCTACATCATGCCGTAAAACATAATAGGGAATAACAGGTGTTGATTTAGATGTCAAAAGTTCTCAATACTATTGAAGTTGTTATAAAATTGGAATAAGGGGAGTAGGATAAGTGACCAGGAGCCATTTTTACATTTGAAATAATAAAGTCCCTCAATCTTAAGTCGGAAAGAGACTTTAGAGATCACATTGTCCAAATCCTTAATTTTACAAATGAGTAAGCCCAGGGGGTGATTTTAGAGACTCAAAGTTACAAAGTTAGTCTACTCTAAAATATTGCATTACAAGCAATTCTACAATCAAAAAGTATCATTTTCTTCAGCACTCAGTGGGTTTCTACAGTCTTTTAATCAACTCTAAAGTCTTCTATTTTCAAACTTCATATCAAATTCCTTAATAATAAAAATTACTTAAATGGAAGGAGCCCCTGACTCTTAAGGGTCCACTACTGGTTAATGTAAACCTTGATTTTGAAATTTTATAGCACTTAACTTAAGTTTCTTAATATCATCTGAAAGTTTCAATCATTCCAACACAGTTCCTGATTATACAGAATTTTGTTCTCAGTCATAGAACCCATTGAGATTAGTTAAAGGGTTTTTTAAAAAACAGTGGAAAGTAGTTTACTATTTGTCATATATATATTATGAATATAATTAATCCAAATTCTACTAGCCTGCTTTGGGAGGAAAAAAGAATTGTCACATTTCAGGTGAGAGAATTGTCTTATGTACCATTTATTCATCCAGCAAGTATTTACTGAATGCCTACTCCATTTGAAGCATTGTATTATGGGTTGCATTGTCTTGCAGAATACATTTATCCAAAACAAGGGTATCAATGTGAAATGCACTGTGCTAGTCACTAAGAGAGGTCCAAAGATGTAGTCCTTGCCTTCAAGGAGCTTACAATCATAAATAAAAGACATAGTTTTAGCTCTTATAAAACCAGTAATCCAATTGGGAATTGGAAAGGTATATACATGGTGACACAAAAACTGACCAAAAAAGTGTAATGTAATTTAATACTGAAGTAAGCGCTGGTGAAATAGAGAGTAGGAGGAAGATGATCAACACGATAACTTTGCAGCATGGTTAAGCAGAGAAGATTTTTGGAAAGAAGTGAATTTGTCCTAGTCTTGTGGAAATAGATTGGTGTAGAGAAAAGAGGATGGTACCTTGAAGAGTAAACAGCTTGAGCAAAAGTACAGGAATAAGAGCAAACATGTTCAGGGAATGTGTGAGTACAGGGTGAGAAACAGTAAGATGAACAGCCTGGACAACATGAAAAGGTTGCTAAAATAGTATCTAGATAAATTGAGTGTGATCAGGTGGCAGGGGACAGAAAAAAGAAAACTTAACAAAAGATCAAGACATTTAGGCTAAGAAGCTAAGTTTTGACTAGAATAGTAATATGGAGCCAATGTGGGTTTTGGTCAAGAAAGAGACATGGTGAAAATAATGTTTGAGATAGATCATCCTGGTGGCTTTGTTCCAGGCTGATTCAATGAGGACTGAGGGCAATAAATGGTGATAGGAATATTAGAGAGAATAGGTAGGAGGCTGCTGGAAGTAAAGTAAGCATGAAATGTTTGCTTGCATTGCAACTGAGGCCATGAATGATGGACATTTTTTTTTGTCCATGAATGATGGACAAATTTTAATAGACTTCCAAATGGTTCACTTTGAAATGGCTTACATTCTATTGTCATTTGTTAATTCCTTCATGTCAAGAAATCCTAGAAGTGTTTGGAGAAGGGTACAAAAGGGGATCTACTCCTGTGATTTAGAAGGCATGGTACTAGAGCTCTTAGATCCTCTGTAACTCTTTTAACTCTGACTCTGTCTCCATTCCAGTCCCTTGGAAAGCCCTAAAATGCAATGATCACTCAACTGCACAAGAAAATCTTTACCTATAATGTTGCCAAAAAATAAATAAATAAACCCACTTATTTTCAATTTTGGTTAATCACAGTCAAATGAAAATTGGCCTGTGTCATCTTATGAAGAGGATGATATACTGCTTTTTAAACTTCTAATAAAGAATCTTTCCCACAACTTACAAATAGGAGCCTGGAAAAATTGATAAATGGCTCTACCTTTTTTTGAAAGTTCCAACTTCTCCTGTGTTCTAGTAATGTCATATTAAGAGAAAGGTCAATGCTAGCACATCCTGTCATCTTTCTTTGAAGTGTGGCTGGGACAAGTAAAAGTGTAACACTTTCAAAAATAAAAAATAGGGGGCAGCTAGGTGGTGCAGTGAATACAGCACCAGCCCTGAAGTCAGGAGGACCTGAGTTCAAATTAAGTCTTGGACCAAACACTTGACACTTACTAGCTGTGTGACCCTGGGAAAGTCACTTAACCCCAATTGCCTAAAAATAAGAAAACAAAACAAAACAAAAATAAAAATGCATAAATTATAATTTATTTTTCATAATTTTTGGAAATATGAAATTTATACCCTCAAGACCTCTCTTATCCTGAGCTTCATTTACAAGGAAATATGTAATGGGGATGGAGGTAGGGATATTTTCAGAATATTGTTTTGTGAAGGCTTAGTCCCTTTGAATATTCCCCTATATTCTCACGTCTTTCTTGATAAATTGGGTACCACATGTTATCAGTCATTGTAAATGAAGCTGTGTCTGGCTTTCCTATTTCTATTTCTGCTAGGTTGCAGAGTCAGTCTTCATTTAAAAGTGACTTTCTACATTGAGTCCCACAGATTGTCAATGGCTGAAGACTGTCTCTCCCAATCCATCCTCTTACAGGCCTTTGTTTTGCTTCAGCAGTACTTTTTGGATCAGATATTGCTTTTCTAAAGATGCATTGACTTTTTGTTGCTTCACCTCATTGTGGGTCAAGGAAAGAGATTTACATGCAGTTTATAATGTTGCAAGATTCATAATGCTTTATATTGTTAAGCATTTCCCCCTTGCTTTCCTTTTGCATGCATTTTGGGTTTGTGGTTACATAAACAAACATGCTTCACACACACACACACACACACAACACACACACATACACAAACCTTGTGTTGTGTTAAAGTCATAATTCTTTCTCAAATTTTGACTTAGATATTCGAAGGAAACGGGATGGGATGGT